GAAGATAAGTGAGGGAAAAGAGAGAGAGAGAGAGAGAGAGAGAGAGAGAGAGGATAAGTGGAGAAAGAAAGAGAGAGAGAGGATAAGGGAGGGAAGAGAGAGAGAGAGGAAGACCTGGAGTAGCCGGTTTCAGAGGATTGAAAGGAGAGGAGGGATTAATGGGCATTCCAGGTAAGTGGAGAGAGAGAGAGAGATGATAAAGGAGGGAAGAGAGAGAGAGAGAGATGATAAAGGAGGGAAGAGAGAGAGAGAGAGATGATAAAGGAGGGAAGAGAGAGAAAAAGCAAGAGTGAGAGAGAGAGAGGGAGAGGAAAAGAGGATAAGTGAGGGAAGAGAGAGAGAGAGAGAGAGAGAGAGAGAGAGAGAGAGAGAGAGAGAGAATAGAGGAGGGAAGAGAGAGAGGGAAGAGAGAGAGAGAGAGGATAAGTGAGGGAAGAGAGAGAGAGAGAGGATTAAAAGGAGAGGAAGGATTAATGGGCATTCCAGGTAAGTGGAGAGAGAGAGATAATAAAGGAGGGAAGAGAGAGAAAAAGCAAGAGTGAGAGAGAGAGAGGGAGAGGAAAAGAAGATAAGTGAGGGAAGAGAGAGAGAGAATAAAGGAGGGAAGAGAGAGAGAGGGGATAAAAGAGGGATGAAAGAGAGAGAGAGAGAGATGATAAGTGAAGGAAGAGAGAGAGAATAAAGGAGGGAAGAGAGAGAGAGAGAGAGAGAGAGAGAGAAACTCTAAGAAACACGTGAATAAGAGATAAATAGAATGATTTTTTTTATTTTTGTAATATTTCAAATATCAAATATTTGTTAAAAAAAATTCAATTAAATGGTATCAACTTTATTAGAATATTAATTAATTTCAAATGATTATTGTTTCACAAATTATCTTTATCATCATCATTATTATTATCATCATAATTATCATCATCATCATCATCATTACTGTTATTATTTTTATCATCATTATCATCATTATTATTATTATCACCATCGTCATCATTATCATTATTATCGTTATTATTATTATTATTATTATTATCATCATCATCATCATCATTGTACATTATTATCGTTATCATCATTATTATCATCATCATTATTATTAACATTATCATTATTATCATCATTATTATTAATATTATTATTATTATTATTATCATGGTCATTATTATCAACACCTTTGATATTATTATTATTATTATTATTATTACTATTATCATTATTATTATTTTCATTATTATTATCATCATTATTATTAATATTATCATCATTATTATTAATATTATCATCATTATTATTAATATTATCATTATTATTATCATCATTATTATTAATATTATCATTATTATTATCATCATTATTATTATCATCATTATTATCATCATCATTATTATTATCATCATTATTATTAATATTATCATTATTATTATCATAACTATCATTATTATCATTATCATTACCAGGGCACGAGGGAGAGTATAAGGTATAAGGGGCAGGTATTAGGGGCACGAGGGAGAGTATAAGGTATAAGGGGCAGGTATTAGGGGCACGAGGGAGAGTATAAGGTATAAGGGGCAGGTATTAGGGGCACGAGGGAGAGTATAAGGTATAAGGGGCAGGTATTAGGGGCACGAGGGAGAGTATAAGGTATAAGGGGCAGGTATTAGGGGCACGAGGGAGAGTATAAGGTATAAGGGGCAGGTATTAGGGGCACGAGGGAGAGTATAAGGTATAAGGGGCAGGTATTAGGGGCACGAGGGAGAGTATAAGGTATAAGGGGCAGGTATTAGGGGCACGAGGGAGGGTATAAGGTATAAGGGGCAGGTATTAGGGGCACGAGGGAGAGTATAAGGTATAAGGGGCAGGTATTAGGGGCACGAGGGAGAGTATAAGGTATAAGGGGCAGGTATTAGGGGCACGAGGGAGAGTATAAGGTATAAGGGGCAGGTATTAGGGGCACGAGGGAGGAGTATAAGGTATAAGGGGGCAGGTATTAGGGCACGAGGGAGAGTATAAGGTATAAGGGAGCTGGTATTAGGGGCACGAGGGAGGGTATAAGGTATAAGGGGGCAGGTATTAGGGGCACGAGGGAGGGTATAAGGTATAAGGGGCAGGTATTAGGGGCACGAGGGAGAGTATAAGGTATAAGGGGGGCAGTATTAGGGGCACGAGGGAGAGTATAAGGTATAAGGGGCAGGTATTAGGGGCACGAGGGAGAGTATAAGGTATAAGGGGCAGGTATTAGGGGCACGAGGGAGAGTATAAGGTATAAGGGGCAGGTATTAGGGGCACGAGGGAGAGTATAAGGTATAAGGGGCAGGTATTAGGGGCACGAGGGAGGGTATAAGGTATAAGGGGCAGGTATTAGGGGCACGAGGGAGAGTATAAGGTATAAGGAGCTGGTATTAGGGGCACGAGGGAGGGTATAAGGTATAAGGGGCAGGTATTAGGGGCACGAGGGAGGGTATAAGGTATAAGGGGCAGGTATTAGGGGCACGAGGGAGAGTATGAGGTATAAGGAGCTGGTATTAGGGGCACGAGGGAGGGTATAAGGTATAAGGGGCAGGTATTAGGGGCACGAGGGAGAGTATGAGGTATAAGGGGCAGGTATTAGGGGCACGAGGGAGAGTATAAGGTATAAGGGGCAGGTATTAGGGGCACGAGGGAGAGTATAAGGTATAAGGGGGCAGGTATTAGGGGCACGAGGGAGAGTATAAGGTATAAGGAGCTGGTATTAGGGGCACGAGGGAGGGTATAAGGTATAAGGGGCAGGTATTAGGGGCACGAGGGAGGGTATAAGGTATAAGGGGCAGGTATTAGGGGCACGAGGGAGGGTATAAGGTATAAGGGGCAGGTATTAGGGGCACGAGGGAGGGTATAAGGTATAAGGGGCAGGTATTAGGGGCACGAGGGAGAGTATAAGGTATAAGGGGCAGGTATTAGGGGCACGAGGGAGAGTATAAGGTATAAGGGGCAGGTATTAGGGGCACGAGGGAGAGTATAAGGTATAAGGGGCAGGTATTAGGGGCACGAGGGAGAGTATAAGGTATAAGGGGCAGGTATTAGGGGCACGAGGGAGAGTATAAGGTATAAGGGGCAGGTATTAGGGGCACGAGGGAGAGTATAAGGTATAAGGGGCAGGTATTAGGGGCACGAGGGAGGGTATAAGGTATAAGGGGCAGGTATTAGGGGCACGAGGGAGGGTATAAGGTATAAGGGGCAGGTATTAGGGGCACGAGGGAGGGTATAAGGTATAAGGGGCAGGTATTAGGGGCACGAGGGAGAGTATAAGGTATAAGGGGCAGGTATTAGGGGCACGAGGGAGAGTATAAGGTATAAGGGGCAGGTATTAGGGGCACGAGGGAGGGTATAAGGTATAAGGGGCAGGTATTAGGGGCACGAGGGAGGGTATAAGGTATAAGGGGCAGGTATTAGGGGCACGAGGGAGGGTATAAGGTATAAGGGGCAGGTATTAGGGGCACGAGGGAGGGTATAAGGTATAAGGGGCAGGTATTAGGGGCACGAGGGAGGGTATAAGGTATAAGGGGCAGGTATTAGGGGCACGAGGGAGGGTATAAGGTATAAGGGGCAGGTATTAGGGGCACGAGGGAGGGTATAAGGTATAAGGGGCAGGTATTAGGGGCACGAGGGAGAGTATAAGGTATAAGGGGCAGGTATTAGGAGCACGAGGGAGGGTATAAGGTATAAGGGGCAGGTATTAGGGACACGAGGGAGAGTATAAGGTATTAGGGGCACGAGGGAGGGTATAAGGTATTAGGGGCACGAGGGAGAGTATGAGGTATAAGGAGCTGGTATTAGGGGCACGAGTGGAGGTATAAGGTATAAGGGGCAGGTATTAGGGGCACGAGGGAGGGTATAAGGTAATAAGGGCAGGTATTAGGGGCACGAGGGAGAGTATAAGGTATAAGGGGGCAGGTATTAGGGGCACGAGGGAGGGTATAAGGTATAAGGGGCGGGTATTAGGGTATGAAAGTATAAGGGAGTTGGGTATTAGGAGTATGAGGGTCTTAAGAGTATAAGGGTGTATAATATAAGGCTAATCCCTAATCTTTCCTGATCCCTAATCCTCAGTTTCTCCTTATCCCTAATCTTCACCTAATCTCTTCTAATCTCTAATCCCTGCAAATCCCTAATCTCTGGTAATCCCTAATCCCTAATATCTCCTGATCCCTAGCCCCTAATCTTCACCTAATCTCTCCTGATCCCTAATATCTACGAATCCCTAATCTCTCCCAATCCCTGATTTTACCCAAGTTCTTCTAATCCATAATCCCTGCTAATCACGAATCCCTAATCTTTCTTCAATCCCTAATCTCTTCCAATCCCTAATCCAACCCAATCCTCACCCAACCCCCCCACTAATCTTCCCCCAATAACTAATCTTCCCTAATCTTTACCCAATCTTCACCCCCCCCCGTCCCTAATCTCTTCCAATCCCCCAATCCCTAATCTTCCCCCAACCCCCCCTAATCATCCCCCAACCCCCCAACCCCCCCCTAATCTTCCTCCAACCCTAATCTCTTCCAATCCATAATCCCTGCTAATCCCCCAACCCCCCCTAATCTCCCCCCAACCCCCCCTAATCATCCCCCAACCCCCCCCAATCCCTAATCTTCCCCCAACCCCCCTAATCATCCCCCAACCCCCCCAATCCCTAATCTTCCCCCAACCCCCCCTAATCTCCCCCCAACCTCCCCTAATCATCCCCCAACCCCCCAACCCCCCCCCTAATCTTCCCCCAACCCCCCCTAATCATCCCCCACCCCCCCAATCCCTAATCTTCCCCCAATCCCTAATCTTCCTCCCATCCCGTTTCAGGGCCAGAAGGGCTTCGTGGGCAACCCCGGTCTGCGCGGCGCCCCCGGTGACAACGGCACCCACGCGGGCCACGGCGACCGAGGATTCCCAGGTCAGGTTTTTTTTAAGGTTTTTCTTTAAGGGTTTTTTTAGTTTTTTTAAGGGGGGTTTAAGGGTTTTATAGGGGAGGTTTAAGGGTATTTTTAAGGGGGTTAAGGTATTTTTAAGGGAAGTTTAAGGGTTTTTTTTTAAGGGCCACGGCGACAACGGCACCCACGCGGGCCACGGCGACAGAGGATTCCCAGGTCAGGGCTACTTTAAGTGTTTTTTAAGGGGTTTTAAGGGTTTTTTTAAGGGGTGGGTTAAGGGGGGGTTAAGGGTTTTTTAAGGGGGGGTTAAGGGTTTTTTAAGGGGGTGTTTTGAAGGTTTTTAAGGGGGGTTTCTTATGTGGGCCACGGCGACCGAGGATTCCCAGGTCAGGGCTACTTTAAGTGTTTTTTTAAGGGGTTTTAAGGGTTTTTTTAAGGGTGGGTTAAGGGGTGAGTTAAGGGGGGTTTAAGGGTATTTTTAAGGGTTTTTTAAGGGGGGTTTAAGGGGTTTTTTAAGGGCCACGGCGACAGAGGATTCCCAGGTCAGGGCTACTTTAAGGGTTTTTTTAGGGTTTTTTTAAGGGGTGGGTTAAGGGTATTTTTAAGGGTTTTTTAAGGGGGGTTTAAGGGTTTTTTTTAAGGGCCACGGCGACAACGGCACCCACGCGGGCCACGGCGACCGAGGATTCCCAGGTCAGGGCTACTTTGAAGGGGTTTAAGGTTTTTTTTAAGGGGATTTAAGGTTTTTTTAAGGGGTTTTAAGGGGGGGTTAAGGTTTTTAAGGGTTTTTTTAAGGGGGGTTTAAGGGTTTTTTTAAGGGCCATGGCGACAACGGCACCCACGCGGGCCACGGCGACCGAGGATTCCCAGGTCAGGTTTTTTTTAAGTTTTTTTTTAAGGGGTTTTTTAAAGTTTTTTTTAAGGGGATTTTAAGGGGGTTTCTTCAGTTTTTTTAATTAAAGGGTTTCATTAGTATTTTTTAAGGGGTTTTCTTAAGAGGGTTTTTTGAGTTTTTTTTTAAGGGGTTTCCAAGGTCAGAGTTTATGGGGGTTTCTTAAAGGTTTCTTCGGTGTTTTTAGATATTTAAAGGGGAGTTTCTTTAGGGTTTTAAGGAGGTTTATTAAGGAGGTTTCTTTTTAAGGAGGTTTCTTTAGGGTTTTAAGGAGGTTTATTAAGGAGGTTTCTTTTTAAGGAGGTTTCTTTAGGGTTTTAAGGAGGTTTCTTTTTAAGGAGGTTTATTAAGGAGGTTTCTTTTTAAGGAAGTTTCTTTTTAAGGAGGTTTCTTTAGGGTTTTAAGGAGGTTTCTTTTTAAGGGGGTTTGTTAAGGAGGTTTCTTTTTAAGGAAGTTTATTTTAGGGGTTTCTTTTTAAGGAGGTTTATTGATGGGGTTTCTTTTTTTAAGTTTTTTTTTTAGGGGTTTCTCAAGAGTTTTTAAGGAGGTTTATTAAGTGTTTTTTTTCCTCAAGTGTCTCTTAATTTTTTTTTTAAGGTTTCTTTTAGGGTTTCACAAGAATTTCCGATTTTTTTAAAGGTTTCCTTGTTGTTTTTTAAGGTTTCTAAGTTAAGTTCTTTTTAAGATTTTTAAGGTAAAACCCACTCTCTATCTATCTGTCTGTCTGTCTATTTATTTCTATGTCTATCTATTTATATTTCTCCACCATTTTTCTTTCTCTCTCTATCTATTTCTCTATTTCTCTATCTGTTTATCTCTCTCTCTCTTTCTCTCTCTCTTTCTCTCTACCTCTCTCTCTCTCTCTGTATTTCTGTCTCTATCTGTCTATCTATTTCTCTGTCTATCTATATATGTTTCTCCATCATTTTTTCTCTCTCTCTATCTATTTCTCTATCTATCTCTCTCTCTCTCTCTTTCTCTCTCTTTCTCTCTCTATTTCTCTCTCTATCTATCTATCCAATTATCTCTCTCTCTCTCTGTGTCTCTCTTTATCTATCTATTTCTCTGTCTATCTATATGTTTCTCCATCATTTTTTTTCTCTCTCTATCTATTTCTCTATTTCTCTATCTATCTATCTTTCTCTCTCTTTCTCTCTCTCTGTCTCTCTCTATCTCTCTATTTCTGTCTCTCTTCATCATTTCTCTCTCTCTCTCTCTTTATCTGTCTATTTATCTATTTCTCTATCTAATCTATATATCTATCTTTTTTTCTCTCCCCCCTCACCCCCTCTCACTCCTCTCCCCTCACCCCCTCACCCCCTCCTAACCCCCTTCTCCCCTCCCCTCACCCCCCAAATTCTCCCCTCACCCTCTCCCCCTTCCCCCTCACTCCCCCCTTCTCCCTCACCCCTCCCCCCTCCCCTCCCCACCCACCCCTTCTCTCCCCTCACTCACCCCCCCCCTTCTCTCTCTCTCCCCCCTTCTCCCCTCACCCCCCCTCCCCCTTCTCCCTCACCCCTCCCCTTCCCCCCTCCCCACCCCCCCCCTTCTCTCCCCTCACTCACCCCCCCTTCTCTCTCTCCCCCCCCCCCCACAGGACTCCCCGGCGATTCAGGGATCCCCGGCTTACCAGGCCCTAGGGGACTGGTAGGGACCCCAGGGGAGGAGGGACAGGGACTCCCCGGACCCCAGGGACGCGTCGGCCTCGTCGGGGAGAGAGGACGACCCGGCCTGCCAGGGATTAATGGCAAGAAGGTAAGGATTTATGAGGGGGATTTATGAGGAAGGAGGATTTATGAGGATTTAATTGGAGGGATTTATGAGGAAGGGGATTTATGAGGATTTAATTGGACGGATTTATGAGGAAGGAGGATTTAATTGGAGGGGATTAATGGGGAAGGGGATTTATGAGGATTTAATTGGACGGATTTATGAGGAAGGATTATTTAATTGGAGGGGATTTATGAGGGGGTTAATGAGGAAGGGGATTTAATTGAGGATTTATGAGGAAGGGGATTAATTGGAGGGGATTTATGAGGGGATAAATGGAAAGGATTTATGAGGGGATTTAATTGAGGATTTATGAGGATGGAGGATTTAATTGGAGGGGATTTATGAGGGGGTTAATGAGGAAGGTGATTTAATTGAGGATTTATGAGGAAGGGGATTAATTGGAGGGGATTTATGAGGGGGATAAATGGAAAGGATTTATGAGGGGATTTAATTGAGGATTTATGAGGATGGAGGATTTAATTGGAGGGGATTTATGAGGGGGATAAATGGAAAGGATTTATGAGGAAGGAGGATTTAATTTGGGATTTATGAGGGGGTATGATTTGGGATTTATGAGGAATGAGGATTTAATTAAGGATTTATGAGGAAGGGAATTACATTTGGGGATTTAATTGGAGAGAGTAATGAAAAGGATTTAGGAGGGGGATTTAATTTAGGATTTATGAGGAGGATTTGATAAAGGATTTATGAGGGGATTAATTGGAAAGGATTTATGAGAAGGATTTATGTTTACGATTTGAAAATGAAATTTTAATATAAATTATATTCAAGATATATGTTATATATATTAATATATATTAATAATTATTTTTCTTTTGTGATATATATTTTTTTCTCTTTATATGTTTTTTTTTTATATATATAATATTTTTTCTCTTTATTCTCTGTTATAATAAAACATTTTCTTATCCGCATTGATTTTTTTTTATCTAATTCGAATTAATAAAAAAAATGCATTTCATTAATATATAGATTTTAACCTAAAAATTATATTATTTTTTTAGTCTTTTTCCCCCTTCAATTTTAATTAATTTTTAAGACAATTTCGTCATAAACATTTTATGACGATTTTGTTTTATTAATCTGAGCCTCTCTCTCTCTCTCTCTCTCTCTCTCTCTCTCTCTCTCTCTCTCTCGCTTTCTCTCTCTCTCTCTCTCTCTCTCTCTCTCTCTCTCTCTCTCTCTCTCTCGCTTTCTCTCTCTCTCTCCTTCTGTCTCTCTCCTTCTGTCTCTCTCTCTCTCACTCTCTCTCTCTCTCTCTCTTTCATCTCATTCTTAACACAATTTCTACCCACAAACCCTAAAATTATATCGTTTTTTATATTAATCACAACCTCTCTCTCTCCTCTCCCCCCTCTCCCCCCTACCCCCTACCCCTCTCCCCCCTACCCCCTACCCCTCTCCCCCAACCCTCTCCCCCCTACCCCCTACCCCTCTCCCCCAACCCTCTCCCCCCTACCCCCTACCCCTCTCCCCCAACCCTCTCCCCCTACCCCCTACCCCTCTCCCCCAACCCTCTCCCCCCTACCCCCTACCCTCTCCCCCAACCCTCTCCCCCCTACCCCCTACCCCTCTCCCCCAACCCTCTCCCCCCTACCCCCTACCCTTCTCCCCCACCCCCACCCCACCCCCCCCCAGGGCGAAATGGGCACCATGGGACTCCCAGGAACGGCCGGCATACGAGGCGACCCCGGAGAGGCAGGCGCACCAGGACCGCACGGTGGAGAGTTAGTGGGACCTCGAGGACCAGATGGCAGGATCGGCCTCAAGGGACAGCCGGGAGACGCTGGAAGGTTTGGCATTGCAGGTAAGGAGGGAGGGAGAGAGAGAAGAAAGGGAGAGAGAGAGAGAGAGAGAAGAGAAGAAGAGGGTGAGAGAGAGAGAGAGAGAGAGAGAAAGAAGAGGGTGAGAGAGAGAGAGAGAGAGAGAAAGAAGAGGGTGAGAGAGAGAGAGAGTGAGAGAGAGAGAAAGAAGAGAAGAAGAGGGTGAGAGAGAGAGAGGGAGAGAGAGAGAGAAAGAGAGAGAGAGAGAGAGAAAGAAAGGGGGAAGAGAAGGGAGGGATAGAGAGATTAAGGGAGAGAGAGAGAGAGATGGTAGAGGGAGGGAGAGAGAGAGGGACGGAGGTAAGGCGGAAGGGAGAGAGAGAGAGAGAGAGAGGGAAAGAAAGATAGAGAAGAGAGGATGAGAGAAAAATGGTAGAGGGAGGGAGAGAGAAAGAGTAAGAAAGAGAGAGAGAGGGAGAGAAAGAGAGGAAGAGGGAAGAGTAGAGAGGGATAGAGAGATTAAGGGAGAGAGAGAGAGAAAGAGAAAAAGAGAGAGAGAGGAAAGGGGGAGAGGGAAGGGAGAGAGAGAGAGAGAGAGAGAGGTGAGGAAGGGAGAGAGAAAGAGAAGAAGAGAGAGAGGAGAGAGAGAGAGAAAGGAGAGGGAGAGAGAGAGAGAGAGAGAGAGAGAGAGACGGAGAAACAATGAAACAACTAAAAAAAAAAAGAATAAAAGAAGAAACCACAACAACAATAATCGAAAAAAATATATATATAATATATATAATATATATATGTGTGTGTGTGTGTGTGTGTGTGTGTGTGTGTGTGTGTGTGTGTGTGTATGTATACGTGTGTGTGTGTGCGTGTGTGTGTATATATATATATATATATAAATCTATAGAAAAAAATTATATAGGGATATATACATATTATTCATATACACATATTTTTCTTCTTCATCTTCTTCTTCTTCTTTTCTTTTATATTTTCTTGTATACATAACCCCTAATCTCTCCCCCTTCCCCCCCTTCCCCCCTCCCCCCCCAATCCAGGACCCCCAGGCGACCCCGGTCTGCAGGGGACCAACGGGAACCCGGGTCCTAAGGGGTACCCAGGACGCCCCGGGGAGAGAGGGCCCCCTGGACCGACTGTGGGAGGAACCCCGGCCGAGGCAGGAGACCCCGGGAGGAGGGGATTGGTCGGGGACAGGGGATTCGACGGATTACCTGGACAGAGAGGGGTTAAGGTAGGATTTGTGGCGATTTTTTAAGGATTTTTTTAGGATTTATGGAGATTTTTTTAAGATTTTTTTAGGATTTTAAAGTTTTTTCTTTAATTTTCTAAGATTTAGGGGGATTTATTGAAGGATTAATGGGGATTTTTTAGGGTTTATGGACATTCTGGGGGATTTATGGAGATTTTTAGGATTTATTGAAGGATTTATAGGGATTTATGGGGATTTTCAAGGGCGGAGGGGATTGGTCGGGGACAGGGGATTCGACGGATTACCTGGACAGAGAGGGAATAAGGTAGGATTTGTGGCGATTTTTTGAGGATTTATGGTGATTTTTTAGGATTTTTTAAAGGATTTATGGCGATTTTTTTAGGATTAATGAGGATTTTTTTAGGATTTATGGGGATTTTTGTAGGTTTTATGTTTTTTTTTTCAGGATTAAGGTAGAATCTATGGAGATTTTTAGGATTTATGGGGATTTATTGAGGGATTAATGTGGGATTTTTGAGGGATTTTGAAGGGCGGAGGGGATTGGTCGGGGACAGGGGATTCGACGGATTACCTGGACAGAGAGGGAATAAGGTAGGATTTGTGGCGATTTTTTAGTTTTTTTTAAGTTTTATGGGGATTTTTAAAGGATTTTTTGGATTTTTTTAAGGATTTATGGCGATTTTTTTGGATTTATGGCGATTTTTAAAGGATTTTTTGGATTTTTTAAGGATTAATGGGGATTTTTTAAAGGATTAATGGATTTTATAGGTTTATTAGGGGGATTTATGGAGATTTTTAGGATTTATAGGGATTTGTTGAAGGATTTATGGGGATTTTGAAGGGCGGAGGGGATTGGTCGGGGACAGGGGATTCGACGGATTACCTGGACACAGAGGGGTTAAGGTAGGATTTGTGGCGATTTTTTGAGGATTTATGGTGATTTTTTAGGATTTTTTAAAGGATTTATGGCGATTTTTTAGGATTAATGAGGATTTTTTTAGGATTTATGGGGATTTTTTTAGGTTTTATGTTTTTTTCAGGATTAAGGTAGAATTTATGGAGATTTTTAGGATTTATGGGGATTTATTGAAGGATTAATGTGGGATTTTTGAGGGATTTTGAAGGGCGGAGGGGATTGGTCGGGGACAGGGGATTCGACGGATTACCTGGACAGAGAGGGAATAAGGTAGGATTATTAAGGATTTTTTAGGATTTTTTTTTTTATTTTTTAAAGGATTTATGGTGATTTTTTTTATTTTTTTGGATTTTTTAAGGATTAATGGGGATTTTTTTTAAAGGATTAATGGATTTTATAGGTTTATTAGGGGGATTTATGGAGATTTTTAGGATTTATAGGGATTTGTTGAAGGATTTATGGGGATTTTGAAGGGCGGAGGGGATTGGTCGGGGACAGGGGATTCGACGGATTACCTGGACAGAGAGGGGTTAAGGTAGGATTTGTGGCGATTTTTTTAAGGATTTTTTAGGATTTATGGAGATTTTTTTAAGATTTTTTTAGGATTTTAAAGTTTTTTCTTTAATTTTCTAAGATTTAGGGGGATTTATTGAAGGATTAATGGGGATTTTTTAGGGTTTATGGACATTCTGGGGGATTTATGGAGATTTTTAGGATTTATTGAAGGATTTATAGGGATTTATGGGGATTTTCAAGGGCGGAGGGGATTGGTCGGGGACAGGGGATTCGACGGATTACCTGGACAGAGAGGGAATAAGGTAGGATTTGTGGCGATTTTTTAGTTTTTTTTTAAAGTTTTATGGGGATTTTTAAAGGATTTTTTGGATTTTTTTAAGGATTTGTGGCGATTTTTTAGTTTTTTAAAGTTTTATGGGGATTTTTAAAGGATTTTTTAAGGATTTATGGCGATTTTTTAGGATTTATGGCGATTGTTTTTTGGATTGATGGGGGTTTTTAAAGGATTTTTTAGGATTTTTTAAGGATTAATGGGGATTTTTTAGGATTAATGGATTTTTTAGGGTTTATAGACATTTAGGGGGATTTATGGAGATTTTTAGGATTTATTGAAGGATTTACGGGGATTTTGAAGGGCCTGGTCGGGGACAGGGGATTTTTTAAGGATTTGTGGCGATTTTTTAGGATTTATGGCGTTTTTTAGGATTTATGGGGATTTTTTAAGGATTTTTTAGGATTTTTAAAAAAGATTTATGTTTTTTTTTTAAGGATTTTTTTTAGGATTTTTAGGATTTTTTAGGATTTTTTTAAGGATTTATAGCGATTTCTAATAATAATAATATATATATTTTTTTTCTATGATTATTATATATACAACAACAATAACAATGATAAGATTAACATTAATAATAATAATAATAATAATAATAACAAATAAATAAATAAATAAATAAATAAATAAATAATAACACCAATAATAACAACAATGATAACAATAAATAAATAATAATAACAACAATAATAATAACAATAAAGATAACAATAACAATGATAATAATAAAAACAACAATAATAATAATAACAATAAATAGATAACAACAACAACAATAATGATAATAAAAACAACAACAATAATAACAAAAAATAAATGAAAACAATAATAAAAATAACAACAACAACAACAATAATAATAAAAATAACAAAAACATTAATAATAATAAAAACAACAATAATAATAATAACAATAAATAAATAACAACAACAACAACAATAATAACAAAAAATAAATAAAAACAATAATAAAAATAACAACAACAACACCAACAACAATAATAACAAACAAATAAATTAATTATTTTCCCCCCAGGGCTTCCGCGGCGCCGAGGGCCTGAAGGGCGACATTGGCAGGCCTGGCACTCCCGGCCGACCCGGCGAGGTTGGCACTCGTGGGCGCATCGGACCGCCTGGTGAGTAAATTGTGGGTGATTAGTGAGTAAATTGTGGGTGATTAGTGAGTAAATTAGGGGTAATTAGTGAGTAAATTGTGGGTAATTAGTGAGTAAATTAGGGGTAATTAGTGAGTAAATTAGGGGTAATTAGTGAGTGAATTAGGGGTAATTAGTGAGTGAATTAGGGGTAATTAGTGAGTAAATTGTGGGTAATTAGTGAGTAAATTAGGGGTAATTAGTGAGTAAATTAGGGGTAATTAGTGAGTGAATTAGGGGTAATTAGTGAGTAAATTAGGGGTAATTAGTGAGTAAATTGTGGGTAATTAGTGAGTAAATGATGAGTTAAAAGATTAAGGGACCTGGCGAGGTTGGCACTCGTGGGCGCATCGGACCGCCTGGTGAGTCGCTCGGGGAAACGAGACTAAATGTTTTTTATATAGTTATTTTTGTATATATATATATATATATATATATATATATATTTTTGTATATTATACTTTTTTTCTTTTTTTGTATATTATACTTTTTTCTTTTTTTTGTATATTATATATATATACTTTTTTATGATTATTATATATATGATAAAATGTTTATACTAATTTTATATTAGTATACTTATATATATATATATATATATATATATATATATATATATATATTGTTATTAGTGTGTCATTATTGGGGGGAAACTGGACTAAATGTTTTTTTTTATGGTGATTTGTGTATAAATATATTTTTATGTATAATATATAATATATATTTTTATCATTATCATTATTATTTTTATTGTTATTTCTATATATTATATTCCTTTCCCCCCCTTCCCCCCCTTCCCCCCCTTCCCCTCTTCAAGGCCTCCCGAGCAAGAAGGGCGAACCGGGCGAGGAGGGCATCGCAGGGCGCCCCGGGAAACCAGGTCGCCCTGGTCGCTCGGGTCAGAAGGGAAGACCCGGAGATTTCGGACCTGACGGACCTCAGGGCGAGAGGGGCCTGCCGGGGGGGAGTTTGCCCGGGCTCGAGGGACCGAATGGGGATCCGGGTGAGTAAGGGATGAGTCATTTGTGAGTAATGAGTGAGTTTGATTAGTAATTAGTGAGTTTAATGAGTAATTAGTGAGTAATGGATGAGTCATTTGTGAGTAATTAGTAAGGGATTGCGAGTCATTGAGTAATTGTGAGTAATTAGTAATTAGTGAGTAAGGGATGAGTTTGATGAGTGATTAGTGAGTAAAATGAGTAAATGTACATATCAATTAATTCATTCATTTATCAACCCCCCCTCTCCCTCCTCTCCCCCCTACCCTGTCTCTTACCCTCCCCCCTTACCTATTCCCCCTACCCCATCCCTCCCCCTCCCCCCTTCCCTCCTCCCCCCATCCTCTCTACCCATCCCCTCTCCCCCTCCCCCATATCCCCCCTCTCCCCCATCCCCCTCTCCCTCTCCTCCCCCATCCCTCCCCCTCCTCCCCATCCCTACCCCCTCTCCCTTCCCCCTCCCCCTCCCCTTCCCCCTACCCCTCCCCTCCCTCTCCCTCTTCCCCCATCCTCCCCATCCCCCCTTCCCTCCTCCCATCCTCTCCCCTCTCCCCTTCCCCTCCCCTTTACCCCTCTCCCTTCCCCCCATCCCCCATCCCCCTCCCCTCTCCCCCTCTCCCCTTCCCCCCATCCCCCATCCCCCTCCCCCATCCCCCTCTCCCCACTCCCCCTCTCCCCCCCTCCCATCCTCTCCCTCTCCCCTTCCCCCATCCCCCCTTCCCCTCTTCCCCCCTCTTCCCCTCCACCAGGCTTCCCAGGGGCTCCCGGACGCGACGGTCTGCCTGGCCTGAGGGGACAGCGAGGACCCCCTGGCGACGATGCGCTACGGAGGGGCATCCCTGGTGATCGCGGCCCTCAGGGACTGCCTGGGTGAGTATCTAAGAGGGGTGAGTAAAAGTGAGTAAGGGGGGGGGGGTAGGGAGAAAAGGGTGAGTAAGGGGTGAGTATCTAAGGGGGGTGAGTAAGGGTGACTGCCTGGGTGAGTAAGGGTGAGTAAAGATGACTGCCTGGGTGAGTATCTAAGGGACTGCCTGGGTGAGTATCTAAGGGGGGTGAGTAAGGGTGAGTAAAGAGGTGATTAGAGGGTGAGTAAGGGTGACTGCCTGGGTGAGTAAAGGGGGGTGAGTAAATAGGTGATTAGGGAGTGAGTAAGGGTGACTGCCTGGGTGAGTATCTAAGGGGGGTGAGTAAGGGATGAGTAAAGGTGAGTAAAGAGGTAATTAGGGAGTGAGTAAGGGTGAGTAAAGATGACTGCCTGGGTGAGTATCTAAGGGGGTGAGTAAAGGTGAGTAAGGGTGACTGCCTGGGAGAGTATCTAAGGGGGTGAGTAAGGGGCTGAGTAAAGAGGTGATTAGGGGGTGAGTAAGGGTGACTGCCTGGGTGAGTAAGGGGGTGAGGAGGATGAGTAAGGGTTGTTAATAGTGATTTGGGTGAGTAAAGGGGAGGTTTAGGGTGAGTATCTAAGGGTGTGAGTAAGGGTGAGTAAAGCGGTGAGTAAGGGGGGGGGGGTTAAGGGTGAGTAAGGGGGAGTGGATAAGGATGAAAGGTGAGTAAGGGGGGGGTGAAGGGTGAGTATCTAATGAATATTATTATTACTGATGTTTTTTTGTTTTTGTTTTTTCAAATTATTATAATCATCATTATTTTTGACAATTAATCCCCTCATTAAATCCCCCTTCAATTAACACCCCCCCTCATTAACCCCTCATTAACACCCCCCCCCCCTCAATTAACACATCATTAAATCCCCCTCAATTAATCCCCCCCTCCCCCTCCCCCCCCCCTCTCAACAGCCCTAAAGGATTCCGCGGCGACGTCGGGCGACCTGGCGTGACCCGACCCCCAGGTCTGCGCGGCCGGAAAGGTGACCTCGGCGAGAGAGGTTATCGTGGCTTGCCGGGGGTCAGCGGTGACCTCGGTCCGGCTGGTGACCCCGGGATCAGTGGGGCGTTTGGAGCCGAGGGGTTGAAGGTAAGGGAGAGAGAGAGAGAGAGAGAGATAAAGGGGGAATGAGAGAGGGAGAAGAAGAGAGAGAGAGGAAGAGGGAAGGAGGGACAGAGAGAGAGAGAGGGAAGGAGAGAGAAAGTAAGGGAGAGAGAGAGAGAAAGGGGAAAGGAGGGAGAGGGAAAGAGATAGAAGGGAGAAAAGAGAAAGAGAGAGACAGAAGAAGAGAGATAGAGAGAGAAAAAGAGAGAGAGGTTATCGTGGCTTGCCGGGGGTCAGCGGTGACCTCGGTCCGGCTGGTGACCCCGGGATCAGTGGGGCGTTTGGAGCGGAAGGGTTGAAGGTAAGGGAGAGAGAGAGAGAGATAAAGAGGGAATGAGAGAGAGAGAGAGAGAGAGAGAGAGAGGAGGAGGGAAGGAGAGAGAGAGAGAGGAGGAGGGAAGGAGACAGAAAGTAAGGGAGAGAGAGAGAAAGTAAGGGAGAGAGAGAGAGAGAAAGGGGAAAGGAGGGAGAGGGAGAGAGATAGAAGGGAGAAAAGAGAAAGAGAGAGACAGAAGAAGAGAGAAAGAAGAAGAGAAAGAGAGAGAAAAAGAGAGAGAGGTTATCGTGGCTTGCCGGGGGTCAGCGGTGACCTCGGTCCGGCTGGTGACCCCGGGATCAGTGGGGCGTTTGGAGCCGAGGGGTTGAAGGTAAGGGAGAGAGAGAGAGAGAGAGATAAAGGGGGAATGAGAGAGGGAGAAGAAGAGAGAGAGAGAGGAAGAGGGAAGGAGGGACAGAGAGAGAGAGAGGGAAGGAGAGAGAAAGTAAGGGAGAGAGAGAGAGAGAGAGAAAAGGGGAAAGGAGGGAGAGGGAGAGAGATAGAAAGGAGAAAAGAGAAAGAAAGAGAAAGAAGAAGAGAAAGAGAGGGAAAAAGAGAGAGAGGTTATCGTGGCTTGCCGGGGGTCAGCGGTGACCTCGGTCCGGCTGGTGACCCCGGGATCAGTGGGGCGTTTGGAGCCGAGGGGTTGAAGGTAAGGAAGAGAGAGAGAGAGAGAGATAAAGGGGGAATGAGAGAGAGAGAGAGAGAGGAGGAGAGAAAGGAGGGAGGAGGGAAGGAGGGAAGGTAAGAGAGAGAGAGAGAGAGATAAAGGGGGAGAGAAAGAGAGATTGGGATGGAGAGAGAAAGGGGGAAGGAGGGAGAGAGAGAGAGAGAGAGAGAGGAGGAGAGAAAGGAGGGAAAGAGAGAGAAAGAAGAAGAGAGAGAGAGAGAGAAAGGGGGAAGGAGGGAAAGAGTGAGAAAGAGAGTGAGAGAGAGAGAAATAGAGAGAGAAATTGGGAGAGAGAGAGAAAGAAAGAGAGAGAGAGATTATTATTATTATTATTATCATCATCATCATTACAATATCATAATTGTCATCATTATTACTATTACTATTTCTATCAATATTGCTATCATTATTACTATTATTATTATTATCATTATTATCATTATTATTATTATTATTATTATCATTATCATCAACATTATTATTATTATTACCGTCATTTCTGCATTATTATTATCATTATCATTATTATTATTACTAGTACCATTATTATTATTATTATCATCATCATCATTATTATTGTTATTACTAGTACCATCATCATCATCATCATTATCATTATTATTATCGTCATTTCTGCATTATTGTTATCATTATCATTATTATTATTATCATCATCACCATCATCATCATCATCATTATCATTATTATCATCACCATTATGATTATTATCATTATTATCATCATTATTATTATTGTTATTATTATTATTACTAGTACCATCATCATCCTCATCATCATCATCATCATCATTATCATTATAATTATCGTCATTTCTGCATTTCAGGGCTTACCTGGTAACCCTGGCTTGCCTGGTACTTACGGAGGCGTTGGTATCCCTGGCGCCCGAGGAGATGTAGGTCTGCCTGGTAAGTTCATACACGCACATACACGCACATGAATACATATACGCACATGGATACATACACATTCAGACATACACGCACGTACACGCACATGAATACACACATATACAGACATACACATGCAGACGCTCATACACGCACATACGCACATATGAATACATACACGCGCATACACGCACATATGAATACATACACGCGCATACACGCACATACGCACATATGAATACATACACATTCAGACATACACGCACATACACGCACATACGCACACATGCAGACATACACGCGCATACACGCACATACGCACATACACGCACACATGAATACACACATATATAGACGCACACGTACATATACATGAATATATACACATGCATATATGAATACATACACGCACATACACACACACATGAATACATAGACACACGCATATGGATACATACACGCACATATGCACACATGAATACATACACACACACATACACATGAATACTTACATATACAGACATACACGCATATACACATGAATACATACACATGCATACATGAATACACACACACGCATACACACGCAAATACACACATATGAATACATAAACACACACATATGAATGCATACACACACACACATAAATACACACATATACAGACGCACACGCACATGAATACATACACACACATACACGTACACACCTACAGATACAGACATACAGACACACACACACATAGGCGTACACATACACACACACAGAAAGAGAAAGACAAACAGAGAGAGAAAGAGACAGAGAGAGAGAGAGACAGAAAGAGAGAGAGGGAGAGAGAGAGAGAGAGAGACAAACACAGAGAGAGACAGACAGACAGACAGGCAAAGAGAGAGAGAGAGAGAAAGACAAACACAGAGAGAGTGAGAAAGACAAACAGAAAGAGAGAGAGACAAACACAGAGAAAGACAGACAAACACATACCTACAAAATACTTTATCACCGAAGCAAACATTCATTCATTTTCTGTTATAAGTTATTAGTATTAAAAAAAAAACACTGTTAGTTAATGAATTATATATATTATCAATTGATTATCAATAAACACTCAATTGGTATCTAGAAATCATGCAAAATTATGCAACGTTCCAGAGATTATTATGCAACGTTCAACAAAATTATGCAACGTTCCAGATGGCTTACTAGCATCACCTACAGAGCTATTAATTAGTGAATTATATTTATTAATCAATTATATTAATCATTTGTTATCACTTATTGTTTATTATTATCAATAAACATGCAACATGCAATAAATCATGCAACATTAAGCATCATTATAGAGGGCTCACTGGCATCCCGTACAGAGCTATTAATTAATGAATTATATTAATGATTGAAATATATTAATTAATGAATTATGTTAGTTAATTAGTTGTATTAATTAGTGAATTCTATCAATTATCTGTTATCAGTTATTGGTTATTAGTAATAAAAATAATCCCACCGCTGCCACCAAATTCCTAAAAATTGATCAGGAAGAGAACTAGAAACTTTTTTTTTCTCTCTTTTTCTTCTTCTTCTATATCTTCCACTTTCTTATTATTATTATTAGTCCTTCTTTTCTTCATCTTCTTTTTCTTTTTTTTTCTGTTCTCTTTTTCTTCTTCTTTTTCATTGTCTTCTAAAAATAATCCCACCGCTGCCACCAAATTCCTAAAAAAAAAAAAAAAAATTGATCGTGAACAAAACACATTGTTCGAAGCCTTTTTTTTCTTCTTCTTCTTCTTCTTCCACTTTCTTCGTATTATTATTTATTCTTCTTAGTCCTTTTTTTCTTCCTTTTCTCTTTCGTTCTCTTCTTCTTCTTCTTATTCCTTCTTTTCCTCCTTTTCTCTTTCGTTCTCTTATTATTATTCTTCTTATTCCTTCTTTTCTTCTTCTTCTCTTTCGTTCTCTTCTTCTTATTCTTATTCCTTCTTTTCTTCCTCTTCTCTTTCGTTCTCTTCTTATTCTTCTTAGTCCTTCTTTTCTTCTTCTTCTCTTTCGTTCTCTTCTTCTTCTTCTTCTTCCTTCTTTTCTTCTTCTTCTCTTTCGTTCTCTTCTTCTTCTTCTTATTCCTTCTTTTCTTCCTCTTCTCTTTCGTTCTCTTCTTCTTCTTCTTATTCCTTCTTTTCTTCCTTTTCTCTTTCGTTCTCTTCTTATTCCTTCTTTTCTTCTTCTTCTCTTTCGTTCTCTTCTTCTTCTTCTTATTCCTTCTTTTCTTCCTCTTCTCTTTCGTTCTCTTCTTCTTCCTTCTTTTCTTCTTCTTCTCTTTCGTTCTCTTCTTATTATTATTATTCCTTCTTTTCTTCTTATTCTCTTTCGTTCTCTTCTTATTCCTTCTTTTCTTCTTATTCTCTTTCGTTCTCTTCTTATTCTTCTTATTCCTTCTTTTCTTCTTATTCTCTTTCGTTCTCTTCTTATTCTTCTTATTCCTTCTTTTCTCTTTTCTTCTTATTCTCTTTCGTTCTCTTCTTCTTCTTCTTATTCCTTCTTTTCTTCTTCTTCTCTTTCGTTCTCTTCTTCTTCTTCTTATTCCTTCTTTTCTTCTTATTCTCTTTCGTTCTCTTCTTCTTCTTATTCCTTCTTTTCTTCTTCTTCTCTTTCGTTCTCTTCTTATTCCTTCTTTTCTTCTTATTCTCTTTCGTTCTCCTCTTCTTCTTCTTATTCCTTCTTTTCTTCTTATTCTCTTTCGTTCTCTTCTTCTTCTTCTTATTCCTTCTTTTCTTCTTCTTCTCTTTCGTTCTCTTCTTCTTCTTCTTATTCCTTCTTTTCTTCTTATTCTCTTTCGTTCTCTTCTTCTTCTTCTTATTCCTTCTTTTCTTCCTCTTCTCTTTCGTTCTCTTCTTCTTCTTCTTATTCCTTCTTTTCTTCCGATTCTCTTTCGTTCTCTTCTTCTTCTTATTCCTTCTTTTCTTCTTCTTCTCTTTCGTTCTCTTCTTCTTCTTCTTATTCCTTCTTTTCTTCCTTTTCTCTTTCGTTCTCTTCTTCTTCTTCTTATTCCTTCTTTTCTTCTTCTTCTCTTTCGTTCTCTTCTTCTTCTTCTTATTCCTTCTTTTCTTCTTCTTCTCTTTCGTTCTCTTCTTCTTCTTCTTATTCCTTCTTTTCTTCTTATTCTCTTTCGTTCTCTTCTTATTCTTATTCTTCTTCTTTTCTTCTTATTCTCTTTCGTTCTCCTCTTCTTCTTCTTATTCCTTCTTTTCTTCTTATTCTCTTCTCTTTCGTTCTCTTCTTCTTCTTCTTATTCCTTCTTTCTTCCTATTCTCTTTCGTTCTCTTCTTCTTCTTCTTATTCCTTCTTTTCTTCTTCTTCTCTTTCGTTCTCTTCTTCTTCTTCTTATTCCTTCTTTCTCTTCTTCTTCTTCTTATTCCTTCTTTTCTTCTTATTCTCTTTCGTTCTCTTCTTCTTCTTCTTATTCCTTCTTTTCTTCTTATTCTCTTTCGTTCTCTTCTTCTTCTTCTTATTCCTTCTTTTCTTCCTCTTCTCTTTCGTTCTCTTCTTCTTCTTCTTATTCCTTCTTTTCTTCCTCTTCTCTTTCGTTCTCTTCTTCTTCTTCTTATTCCTTCTTTTCTTCTTCTTCTCTTTCGTTCTCTTCTTATTCCTTCTTTTCTTCCTTTTCTCTTTCGTTCTCTTCTTCTTCTTCTTATTCCTTCTTTTCTTCTTATTCTCTTTCGTTCTCTTCTTATTATTATTATTCCTTCTTTTCTTCCTCTTCTCTTTCGTTCTCTTCTTCTTCTTATTCCTTCTTTTCTTCTTCTTCTCTTTCGTTCTCTTATTCTTCTTCTTATTCCTTCTTTTCTTCTTATTCTCTTTCGTTCTCTTCTTCTTCTTCTTATTCCTTCTTTTCTTCTTATTCTCTTTCGTTCTCTTCTTCTTCTTCTTATTCCTTCTTTTCTTCTTATTCTCTTTCGTTCTCTTCTTATTCTTCTTCCTTCTTTTCTTCCTCTTCTCTTTCGTTCTCTTCTTCTTCTTATTCCTTCTTTCTTCCTCTTCTCTTTCGTTCTCTTCTTCTTCTTCTTTTCTTCTTCTTCTCTTTCGTTCTCTTCTTCTTCTTCTTATTCCTTCTTTTCTTCTTATTCTCTTTCGTTCTCTTCTTCTTCTTCTTCTTTTCTTCCTCTTCTCTTTCGTTCTCTTCTTCTTCTTATTCCTTCTTTCTTCTTATTCTCTTTCGTTCTCTTCTTCTTCTTCTTATTCCTTCTTTTCTTCTTATTCTCTTTCGTTCTCTTCTTCTTCTTCTTATCCTTCTTTTCCTTCCTCTTCTCTTTCGTTCTCTTCTTCTTCTTATTCCTTCTTTCTTCTTATTCTCTTCGTTCTCTTCTTCTTCTTCTTTTCTTCTTCTTCTCTTCGTTCTCTTCTTCTTCTTCTTATTCCTTCTTTTCTTCTATTCTCTTTCGTTCTCTCTTCTTCTTCTTTCCTTCTTTTCTTCTTATTCTCTTTCGTTCTCTTCTTCTTCTTCTTATTCCTTCTTTTCTTCTTATTCTCTTTCGTTCTCATTCTTCTTCTTCTTATTCCTTCTTTTCTTCCTTTTCTCTTTCGTTCTCTTCTTCTTCTTCTTATTCCTTCTTTTCTTCTTATTCTCTTTCGTTCTCTTCTTATTATTATTATTCCTTCTTTTCTTCCTCTTCTCTTTCGTTCTCTTCTTCTTCTTATTCCTTCTTTTCTTCTTCTTCTCTTTCGTTCTCTTATTCTTCTTCTTATTCCTTCTTTTCTTCTTATTCTCTTTCGTTCTCTTCTTCTTCTTCTTATTCCTTCTTTTCTTCTTATTCTCTTTCGTTCTCTTCTTCTTCTTCTTATTCCTTCTTTTCTTCTTATTCTCTTTCGTTCTCTTCTTATTCTTCTTCCTTCTTTTCTTCCTCTTCTCTTTCGTTCTCTTCTTCTTCTTATTCCTTCTTTTCTTCCTCTTCTCTTTCGTTCTCTTCTTCTTCTTCTTTTCTTCTTCTTCTCTTTCGTTCTCTTCTTCTTCTTCTTATTCCTTCTTTTCTTCTTATTCTCTTTCGTTCTCTTCTTCTTCTTCTTCTTTTCTTCCTCTTCTCTTTCGTTCTCTTCTTCTTCTTATTCCTTCTTTTCTTCTTATTCTCTTTCGTTCTCTTCTTCTTCTTCTTATTCCTTCTTTTCTTCTTATTCTCTTTCGTTCTCTTCTTCTTCTTCTTATTCCTTCTTTTCTTCTTCTTCTCTTTCGTTCTCTTCTTCTTCTTATTCCTTCTTTTCTTCCTTTTCTCTTTCGTTCTCTTCTTCTTCTTCTTTTCTTCTTATTCTCTTTCGTTCTCTTCTTATTCTTCTTATTCCTTCTTTTCTTCCTCTTCTCTTTCGTTCTCTTCTTCTTCTTCCTTCTTTTCTTCTTATTCTCTTTCGTTCTCTTCTTCTTCTTCTTATTCCTTCTTTTCTTCTTATTCTCTTTCGTTCTCTTCTTCTTCTTCTTCTTCCTTCTTTTCTTCCTTTTCTCTTTCGTTCTCTTCTTCTTCTTATTCCTTCTTTTCTTCTTATTCTCTTTCGTTCTCTTCTTCTTATTATTCTTTCTTTTCTTCTTCTTCTCTTTCGTTCTCTTCTTCTTCTTCTTATTCCTTCTTTTCTTCCTCTTCTCTTTCGTTCTCTTCTTCTTCTTCTTCTTTTCTTCTTCTTCTCTTTCGTTCTCTTCTTCTTATTATTATTCCTTCTTTTCTTCTTATTCTCTTTCGTTCTCTTCTTCTTATTCTTATTCCTTCTTTTCTTCTTCTTCTCTTTCGTTCTCTTCTTCTTCTTCTTATTCCTTCTTTTCTTCCTCTTCTCTTTCGTTCTCTTCTTCTTCTTCTTATTCCTTCTTTTCTTCTTATTCTCTTTCGTTCTCTTCTTCTTCTTCTTATTCCTTCTTTTCTTCTTATTCTCTTTCGTTCTCTTCTTCTTCTTCTTTTCTTCTTATTCTCTTTCGTTCTCTTCTTATTATTATTATTCCTTCTTTTCTTCTTATTCTCTTTCGTTCCCTTCTTCTTATTCCTTCTTTTCTTCCTCTTCTCTTTCGTTCTCTTCTTCTTCTTCTTCTTCCTTCTTTTCTTCCTTTTCTCTTTCGTTCTCTTTTTATTCTTCTTATTCCTTCTTTTCTTCTTATTCTCTTTCGTTCTCTTCTTCTTCTTCTTATTCCTTCTTTTCTTCTTATTCTCTTTCGTTCTCTTTTTATTCTTCTTATTCCTTCTTTTCTTCCTCTTCTCTTTCGTTCTCTTCTTCTTCTTCTTATTCCTTCTTTTCTTCTTCTTCTCTTTCGTTCTCTTCTTCTTCTTCTTATTCCTTCTTTTCTTCTTATTCTCTTTCGTTCTCTTCTTCTTCTTTTCTTCTTATTCTCTTTCGTTCTCTTCTTATTATTATTCCTTCTTTTCTTCTTATTCTCTTTCGTTCTCTTCTTCTTCTTCGTCCTCCTTTTCTTCTTATTCTCTTTCGTTCTCTTCTTCTTCTTCTTCTTCCTTCTTTTCTTCCTTTTCTCTTTCGTTCTCTTTTTATTCTTCTTATTCCTTCTTTTCTTCTTATTCTCTTTCGTTCTCTTCTTCTTCTTCTTATTCCTTCTTTTCTTCTTATTCTCTTTCGTTCTCTTTTTATTCTTCTTATTCCTTCTTTTCTTCCTCTTCTCTTTCGTTCTCTTCTTCTTCTTCTTATTCCTTCTTTTCTTCTTCTTCTCTTTCGTTCTCTTCTTCTTCTTCTTATTCCTTCTTTTCTTCTTATTCTCTTTCGTTCTCTTTTTATTCTTCTTATTCCTTCTTTTCTTCCTCTTCTCTTTCGTTCTCTTCTTCTTCTTCTTATTCCTTCTTTTCTTCCTCTTCTCTTTCGTTCTCTTCTTCTTCTTCTTATTCCTTCTTTTCTTCTTATTCTCTTTCGTTCTCTTCTTATTCCTTCTTTTCTTCTTATTCTCTTTCGTTCTCTTCTTCTTATTCCTTCTTTTCTTCTTATTCTCTTTCGTTCTCTTCTTCTTCTTATTATTCCTTCTTTTCTTCTTATTCTCTTTCGTTCTCTTCTTCTTCCTTCTTTTCTTCTTATTCTCTTTCGTTCTCTTCTTCTTCTTCTTATTCCTTCTTTTCTTCTTATTCTCTTTCGTTCTCTTCTTCTTCTTCTTATTCCTTCTTTTCTTCTTATTCTCTTTCGTTCTCTTCTTATTATTCTTCTTTTCTTCTTATTCTCTTTCGTTCTCTTCTTCTTCTTCTTATTCCTTCTTTTCTTCTTATTCTCTTTCGTTCTCTTCTTCTTCTTCTTATTCCTTCTTTTCTTCTTATTCTCTTTCGTTCTCTTCTTCTTATTCCTTCTTTTCTTCTTATTCTCTTTCGTTCTCTTCTTCTTCTTCTTAGTTCTTCTTTTCTCCTTATTCTCTTTCGTTCTCTTCTTCTTCTTCTTATTCCTTCTTTTCTTCTTATTCTCTTTCGTTCTCTTCTTCTTCCTCCTATTCCTTCTTTTCTTCTTATTCTCTTTCGTTCTCTTCTTCTTCTTCTTATTCCTTCTTTTCTTCTTATTCTCTTTCGTTCTCTTCTTCTTCTTCTTATTCCTTCTTTTCTTCTTATTCTCTTTCGTTCTCTTCTTCTTCTTCTTATTCCTTCTTTTCTTCTTATTCTCTTTCGTTCTCTTCTTATTCCTTCTTTTCTTCTTATTCTCTTTCGTTCTCTTCTTCTTCTTCTTATTCCTTCTTTTCTTCTTCTTCTCTTTCGTTCTCTTCTTCTTCTTCTTATTCCTTCTTTTCTTCTTATTCTCTTTCGTTCTCTTCTTCTTCTTCTTATTCCTTCTTTTCTTCCTCTTCTCTTTCGTTCTCTTCTTCTTCTTCTTATTCCTTCTTTTCTTCTTATTCTCTTTCGTTCTCTTCTTCTTCTTCTTATTCCTTCTTTTCTTCTTCTTCTCTTTCGTTCTCTTCTTCTTCTTCTTATTCCTTCTTTTCTTCTTATTCTCTTTCGTTCTCTTCTTCTTATTCCTTCTTTTCTTCTTCTTCTCTTTCGTTCTCTTCTTCTTCTTCTTATTCCTTCTTTTCTTCTTATTCTCTTTCGTTCTCTTCTTCTTATTATTCCTTCGTTTCTTCCTCTTCTCTTTCGTTCTCTTCTTCTTCTTCTTATTCCTTCTTTTCTTCCATTTCTCTTTCGTTCTCTTCTTCTTCTTCTTATTCCTTCTTTTCTTCCTCTTCTCTTTCGTTCTCTTCTTCTTCTTCTTATTCCTTCTTTTCTTCTTATTCTCTTTCGTTCTCTTCTTCTTCTTCTTATTCCTTCTTTTCTTCCATTTCTCTTTCGTTCTCTTCTTCTTCTTCTTATTCCTTCTTTTCTTCCTCTTCTCTTTCGTTCTCTTCTTCTTCTTCTTATTCCTTCTTTTCTTCCTCTTCTCTTTCGTTCCCTTCTTCTTCTTCTTTCCTCCTTTCTCCTCTTTTTCCATCTATCTATCAATCTACCTAATCAACCTACTTACTTACCTACTTACCTACTTACCTAATCTACTCCTCTTCCCCTTCCCTATCTACCTACCTACCTACTTACCTACTTACCTAATCTACCTACCTACTTACCTCATCTACTTACCTACCTAATCTACTTACCTACTTCCCCAATCTACCGAATCTACTTACCTACTTCCCCAATCTACTTACCTACCTATTTACCTACCTATCTATCTACCAACTTACCCAATCTCCTTACCTACTTACCTAATCCACTTACCTACTTACAGGCGGTCTCGGCGGCACGGGTTTCATGGGCAAACCAGGACTACCTACTTACCTATCTATCTACCTACTTACCTAATCTACTTACCTACTTCCCCAATCTACTTACCTACCTCCCCAATCTTACCCAATCTCCTTACCTACTTACCTAATCCACTTACCTACTTACAGGCGGTCTCGGCGGCACGGGCTTCATGGGCAAGCCAGGACTACCTACTTACCTATCTATCTACCTACCTACCTACCTACTTCCCCAATCTACTTACCTACCTACCTACCTATCTACTTACTTACTTCCCCAATCTACTTACCTACCTACCTACTTACCCAATCTACCGAATCTACTTACCTACTTACCTCATCTACTTACCTAACCTACCTACCCAATCTTACCCAATCTACTTACCTACTTACCTAATCCACTTACCTACTTACAGGCGGTCTCGGCGGCACGGGCTTCATGGGCAAACCAGGACTACCTACTTACCTACCTACTTACCTACTTCCCCAATCTACTTACCTACCTACCTAATCTTACCTACCTACCTACCCCAATCTACTTACCTACCTACCTAATCTTACCTACTTACCTATCTACTTACCTAATCTTACCTACTTACCTAATCCACTTACCTACTTACAGGCGGTCTCGGCGGCACGGGTTTCATGGGCAAGCCAGGACTACCTACTTACCTATCTATCTACCTACCTACCTACCTACTTCCCCAATCTTACCTAATCTACCTACCTACTTACCTCATCTACTTACCTACCTAATCTTACCTAATCTACTTACCTACTTCCCCAATCTACTTACCTACCTATTTACCTACCTATCTATCTACCTACTTACCTAATCCACTTACCTACTTACAGGCGGTCTCGGCGGCACGGGCTTCATGGGCAAGCCAGGACGCGACGGAGCCAAGGGCATAGCAGGCTTACCCGGGACAGCCGGTCGACCTGGGCCCTCGGGTAGACAGGGCCCGAGGGGGGAGGGGGGGGAGAGGGGCTTCGACGGGCGGCCGGGACCCCCGGGGCAGCCAGGTGAGTGGGGGGGGGGGGGGAGGAGAAGGAGGGGGGAGAGGAGGAGGAGAGAGAGGAGGAGAGAGGGATAGGGAGGAGGAGGAGAGAGAGAGAGAAAGAATGAGAGAGGGGGAAGAGAGAGAGAGGGAGAAGAGAAGGAAAGAGAGAGAGAGAGAGAGAGAATGAGAGAGGGGGAAGAGAGAGAGAGAGAGGGAGAGGAGGAGGAGGAGAGAGAGAGGGAGATGAGAAGGGGGAGAGAGAATGACTGAGGGAAAGAGAGAGGAGGAAGAGAGAGAATGAGGGAGAAGGGAGAAGGGTAGACAGGGCCCGTGGGGGGAGGGGGGGAGGGGAGAGGAGGAGGAGGAGGAGAGAATGAAGGAGGGAGAGGGATAGGGAGGAGGAGGAGAGAATGAGAGAGGGGGAAGAGAAAATGAGAGGGAGAGAGAATGATTGAGGGGGAAGGGAGAGGGAAAGAAAGGGGAAGAGAGAGAGGAAAAGGGAAGAGAGAATGAGAGAGAAAGAGAGAGGGAGAAGGGGAGACAGGGCCCGAGGGGGGAGGGGGGGGAGAGGGGCTTCGACGGGCGGCCTGGACCCCCGGGGCAGCCAGGTGAGTGGGGGGGGGGAGGAGAAGGAGGGAAGAGAGGGAGAGAATGAGAGAGGGGGAAGAGAGAGGAAGAAAGGGGAAGAGATAGGGAGAGAGAGGAGAAGGGAAGAGAGAGAGGGGGGAGAGAGAATGATTGAGGAGGAGAAGAGAGAGGGAAAGAGAGAGAGAAGTGAGAGAGGGAGAAGGGGAAGAGAGAGAGGGAGAGGAGGAAGAGAGAGAGAGAATGAGAGGGAGGGAAAGAAAGGGGAAGAGAGAATGAGAGAGGGAGGAAGGAAAGGGGAAGAGAGAGAGAGGGGGAGGAGGAGAGAATGAAGGAGGAGGAAGAGAGAATGAGAGGGATAGGGAGGAGGAGGAGAGAGAGAGAGAGAATGAGAGGGAGGGAAGGAGGAAGAGAGAATGAGAGAGGGAGGGGAGGAGAAGGAGAGAATGATTGAGGAGGAAGGGAGAGGGGAAGAAAGGGGAAGAGAGAGAGGGAGAAGGAAAGAGAGAGGAGAAGAGAGAATGAGAGAGGAAGAGGAGGAAGAGAGAGAGGGAGAGAGAATGAAAAAGAGAGAGAATAAGAGAGGAGGAAGAGAAGAGAGAATGAGAGAGGGAGAAGAGGAAGAGAGAGAGAGGAAGAAGGAGAGGAGGAAGAGAGAATGAAAGAGAGAGAGAATGAGAAGGAGAGGAGGAGAAGGGAAAGAGAGAATAATTGAGGGAGAGAGAAGGAGAGGGAAAAGGAAGAGAATAAGAGGATGAAAAGGAAGGGAGAATAAAGGGAGAGAGAGAGAAGAGAAAAGAAAGGGAGGGAGACAAACGTATCTATTAAAAGTGTCATATATATTTTTTCTTTCTTTCTTTTCTTTTTTTTCTTTTCTTTTCTTTTCTTTTCTTTTTTTTCTTTTTTTTGTAGATATACATGTTTTAATCAATTTTTTCCACCTATTAATATTTCAATATATCATGATATATATTTATTGTTTTTTATCATTATTTATATCTTATTAACAGTGTTATTAATATATTATTATCATTTATTTACATATTATAAAAAAATATATATATATGTTCATGTTAAATAAAAAAAATATATACCATTCATGTTATTATCATTATTATTATTATTGATGTTATTATTATTATTATATATTATTAATGTTATTATTAAATATATCATTCATGTTATTATTATATATATTATTAATGTTATTATTATTATTATTATTATTATTATTATCATTCTATTTATCATAACTAACCAATTTCTTATAAGAAAATAAAAATGATAATAATAATAATAATAATAATAATAATAATAATAATAACAACAAAACAAA